CATGATCCTGGAGGCTGTTTAATAGAACTGACAGCCCAGTTGACCATCATAGTGACTGAAAAACAAATTTTCATAAACATTAGAGAAGCCATTTATCTTGGTTTTTAATTGGTGCAGACACTGAAAATCTTGGGTCAGCACTCAGAAACTGTATGATCTCTGGGACAAGGATCCTGACCTGGAAAGTTTTACACATACCTTCAAAGAAACTTTGTCACAAGAATTTTCAAAGTAGTGTTTCTTTATGTAATGCTAATAAATTTTATGGCAATGTCAATATTAAATGTGACAGTATTAACTACTGATTGATATTAAATATTCAGAACTCAGGATGATTTGTTTTATAAGACCATGAGACAGTTAGCCCAGCTGGCCAGTACAAATGTGTCATCCGCTGGTTAGATTATATGAACAACTTTGTAAGTTGAAATGATCTCCCAATGGTAGGGCATATGATTTCGTGTGCATAGAAGATGTACTTCTTGCTTGGGAAAAGCAGTCAGGGTTACCATGAAATAAGCTCAGATGCAAAGCACCAGCCTGCACAATCCGACTTGGCACAGTGACGTCATACATTGGGCACAGCTCACATTTCTTCCTTCCTCAATGCTGATAAAATAAGGAACAACCTATAATTTGGTTTCTTGGATATGCACATTAATTTTTACGGTTTAAAAGTTTATAGAGCTAGGTTGTAAAATAAAAATTTAACTCAGAAAAAGTTAAAGTTGTTTGTTTTTTTCCAAGTCTAAGTAATATATTTCTTAGGAAAGGATTACTTTCGCATGTTGACAATGCCCTGGCTTTCAGTGTTACCCTGTTTTCCCACCAACTCTTCACTCAAGGGGCTGGGGATTTAGCTCAGCCGCACAGCGCCTGCCTGGCAAGCGCAAGGTCGTGAGTTCGGTTCCTGGTACAGGAAAAAAACAAAAACAAAAACAAAAAAACCAAAAAAACAAAAACTCTTCACTCAAGACTCAGCGCTCCCCTCCAAGGCAATGTTTTGGGGTGCTAGGGATGCGCTCCACCAGTGAACTATATCCCCATGCCCCCGCCCAAGGGCTTATTGTTCTCCTCTTATTAGTAGCCATAGTCTACCATTCTCACGGCTCTCGTGCACACCAGGCTCTCTGCTGCTTTCTAGGACTGAGCATACCGCCCACCTAATGCATTTAAGCTGCAACGTGGCCTAATTGCTTTCTTTTCCCAAGCTCATTGATTCCTATGGGAATCAGCATCCTCGAGTTACACATGAGGTACCTCAGGTACTTCAGGTAAGGCTGAAGGAGGTGACAGTGACACAGCATGTTACGAGGGATGAAGTCAAGATAGGTGGCTGGCTTTGTTCAAATCACATTCCAGTTGGTGACAAAATAACTGCTTCAGGTTCCTAGATTCCTCCTCACACAGCAGCTGCCTCCCTGGGAAGCCAGAAATGCCTGCATTTCTATGGTTTCACTCACAGGCCAGGCCCTCTTAGTTGTACTTAAGCAGGAAAGAGCTAAAAGTGACTCGTCCAAGATCACTCAGCTAGTAAATAATAGGTCAAGGTCCCTGGACTTCAGTGGGGCCAGACAGAATGAGGTAGGACAGACTGGCAGCTGATGAGATCAACATAGCCCTTCTGGCAAATGGGGCAACAAGAATGTGGCAACAGCACCCTGACAGCAACAAGTTGAAATGATCTTTCCAGTCCCTTCTCTCCCACGTGGGTTGGCCTTTCTGGTCTTTTTCTTGCCTTCAGTGCCCTAACCCCTTTAAGTATCTTACTAGGTTTCTATAATAATCACCTGCAGGGGCAGAACAGCAATTATTTTACAAATAACAAAGCTAGGGTCAGGAACTCCAGCCAGTTTCACAAGTTTAGTGTCTCAGGTTTGTTGGGAGCTGCTGGAGCTGGATATTGGTTATATGTGTGAGGGTGGGACAGAGCAGAGTTTGTCTTGGGTTCCATCCCCATACCAGAAAAGAAAAGGAAAGGTCTTCAATCCCTGAACCTTTCCCTTCCTTCCTGGAGCCACATCCTGCTTAGGTCAGGTGCGTAGAGAGCCTCTGCAGTGTGGAACCTGCTGTACCAGTTACCAGCTGTGTGTTTTTAAAGGACTCTAGTCTTTACCTATGAATGCAAGGCATTCTTCAAGATAGTGGACGAAAGGGAGCAGGAGAGGACCCAGGGAGTGGGGAGGGAAGTAGAGCTGAAACAGTAAATTTTGTACAGACTGAGCTTGCGCTTTCACAAAGATGGAGAATGAAGTCATGCCCCCAAAGTAGGAAATTTTACTGAAAATAATAAGAAGAAATAGCTCATGATAGATGTCTATCACGAGAGGATTCCAAACAGAAATCTGAACTGTGCTCGTTGGACTGGATGAATGAATACTCTTGTATGAATAGGCAGAGCCCAGGAAAGGGCTTGTTTCAAAGGAAATAAGTTCAAAAGACAGTGCTTATCTTGTATTTCCAATGTTTCTCCAGGTCAGGTTGAAATCCCGTCTAGGGGAAGAGGAGCTGTTAACTAACTTAGTCTCCTTTCTGCAAGGAAGAGTCCTCTCTCTATTCTTAGCCTAACCTTTTATCCTTTGTTCCTGTGTTTTCTTTTACTTTTCTGAGCTTAACCAGCTGTTTGATTAACCAACTCCTTGAATTAGCTCTTTTATTCTACCCTCTATTTAGGCTGCTCTGCCTGCCTGCCCATAATAACTAAACTAACTACTGCAGGTTTCTGGAGAGCTCTGTGGCAGGGCATCCGGGGAGGCCGGCCCCCTACCTGAGCTGCCACACTGTGGTCTGCTTGACCTGCAAAACACAGCTGGAGCAGAATCCAGAGGAGGAGGCAGGGTGGTGACTGGACAGCAGGGCAGGCACCAAGCCAGAACCCCCCGGGAAGCTCTCTGGGCAGCCTCCTGCTCAGCTAATCCCTTACCCCCACTCCCTGTTGCCTTTGATACTCCCAGCTTGGGTCACCTGCTATGGGGCAGGGGCTGGACACAGGTAGTTTCTGGAGGGAGAACTGGCAGGGCTGATGGTGTCTTTTTAGTACAAGGACCATGCATAGCCCTCTGGCTAGACTAAACCCTGGCTCCACTAAAGCCCCCTGACTGCATATGAATTAACTGGGCACCAGTGTCCTCTTCAAGCTAGCCTGGGCTAAGGGTGAGGTAAGTGGAAGTGAGCCAGACCTGGGAACTCCCAGTAATGAGGGAGATTGGAGGGTTTGGCCCTGGAAGGGAAGAAGTTTTGAATTGCTGGAGGTTGGGTGGCAGAATGAGACAGGTGTTTCTTGCAAAAGCAAGGTCAAACTGAGACCTGGGAATAGAGTGCCTGAGGTCTGGGGTGTAAAAGTTCAGCCAGCCTTGTCAGAAGGGCCTGTGTCCCTACCTGGGACAGGAAGATGAATGAGTGGGGGGAAACCTACAGCTTGGGGAGGAGACGGGAGTGTCTAACACAAGGTTGGATTGGCCTGGTGTGGCAGGTAGATTACTGCTCCAGGGAATCACCATACCCCCAAATTCAAACTGAGGTTCTGCGTGGCCCAGGCTTCAAGAGTATGGGCACAGGCAGATGGGCCACTGGTGGGGTCAGCATCTGTGATCCACGGTCTCTTTCTCGACACCTGAGTGAATGAGTCCCTGTCCCGGCAGCACATGGCCCTGAGGAGTTGCTGCAGCTGGCAGAAGGTGAGCCAGAGGAGGTAGGAACACCTTGTGGAGAGCACCAAGAATGGTGCTTTCCATTTTAAGCATTCTGTTCAGACCTGGGACCTTGGAATCTTAGAACACCAAGTCCTGGGAATGCCAGAGACTGCCGGTCATAATGTTTATGAACACGCACTTTAGCTACACCCAGTGGATTCACACAAGTCCCACTTGAGCAATTTGGGGTACAGTTGAGAGGCAGGAGGTGGGAATAGGATGGTTGCTGCACCGGGGAGGGCTCTGCGTTGAGGTATGAATCTTGAGGAAGCCTTTAAGCCAGAAAGAAGTAGACAGGGATGAGGAAAAATCCAAAGAATTGATGATGGAATGAGGGTGTGGTAAAAGATGGGCTTTCGGCACACTCTTTTTCTTCTTCCCTCTCCCCTGTCTCCATGCTCCCCGAGGTGAGCACTCATCACAGATGGGAGCTGACCAGGTGAACAGCTGCCTGATCAGGAATGGCCTCAGTCCCCTAGGTCTTTCACCTCTCTCTCTGATGCCACTGTCTCCCACAGGTCGGGTACCAGGCTGGTTCATGACCCATCTTGCTGGGAGGGAAGTCCCCACTTATTTCTTGGTCCTCCAGGTGTTGCCGAGCAGTATGCTCTCCCACGTTCACTCCTAACCCTAACCACTGTCTTCATGCTCAACTCTGGGTCCCAAACTTGCCAACTCCAGGACTGTCACAACCCACTTGTCTTGTGTCTTAGCCTCTTTGTGAGTCTTCTAATAAACTGCTAACAGGACGAGTAATGATAGACTGTTGGCTCAGTCTCCTTCCCATTGAGGCGCTTTTAATATGCACACTTAGAAAGCTCTATGTGTAAGTGAATAGATAACCTTGTTCTACATAACCCTGTCACTCCCTGGAGGACAGTGTGTCACCACTCACACAACAGGTTACAAGGGCAGGTGTCTCGGGAACCAGATAGGGATATCATAGCCCTAGGGACTAAATATTATTTAACCAGCATAGCCATGGTTATTAGGGTCAAGCCTATGAGAAGCCCTACAGATGCGGAAGTTCAGACATCCATGTGAATACGGATTAGGCACAGGCTGGCTCTGAGCCTGAAATGCAGAGGTAAAAACAACCCTGCTCCCACGGCTGGAGCAGGGTACACAGCACCTCCGCTCTTGCAGCATCCGGTTGGGGTTGGCCTTACAGCAGGAGGGCTGGGAGGTAGGACTTCCGCAAATCAGAGCCAGTGCGCCGACGTCAGAGACGGGGGTGGGAGCCCTGGTGACCAATGGGAGAGAGTCGATTCTGCCCATCCAATGAATACCCTGGTTGCCGTGGCGCCCCGCCCACGAGTCCATTCCGCCACCCTTGGGTACACTGACCGGTGAGTTCTTTCTCTGCTGAGACTGCTCCGCCTTCCCACAGGACAATGCCCTTCATCGAACTGGACACGAACCTAGCCGCCAGCCGCCTGCCCGCCGGGCTGGAGAAGCGGCTGTGCGCGGCCGCCGCCACCATCCTGAACAAACCCGAGGACGTGAGCGAGGCCGGGGGTGTCCTGGGCGAGGGGAGGTTTGGGGGCCCCGGGTCCGGCTCTGTGCACGCCCCGCCTCCGCACAGCGACCCAGACTCTGCTCAGCGACCGCCAGCTCGCCCACCAGCGTGCCCTTCCGTGCCCCACGAAGCTGCGGGCCTGCCGTGCGCTACTGCCCCGCTAGCGCTCCTCTGCCTTGACCCCATGTGACTTGAAAGGACCCTGGCCCTTCGCGCCCCCGCGTCCCCAGCCCTACTCGGTGCAGCCCCAGCTTTGAAACTTTTGTGTCCCTCTCAGAGAGTGACCGTTACTGTGCGGCCTGGCTTGACCATGTTGCTGGGCGGATCCACAGAGCCCTGCGCCCGGCTGCTCGTCTCTTCCATCGGAGTGGTGGACACCGCGGAGAAGAACCGCGGACACAGCGCGGGCTTCTTCGAGTTCCTCACCAAGGAGCTGGCCTTGGGCCAGGACCGGTGTGTAGGGGTAGTCAAAGGACCTATCTGTGACAACTGCGAGCAGAGGCAGTGACCCTCTGCCAGGGACACCAGTGTAAGGTCAGGGGGGAAAAAACCTCACCCTGCCCCAGGAGGATACAGCAGAGTCTTCCAGGAAGCCTGTGCACTCCTTAGGCCCCATGGTGATTGCTTTGCGTTCCAGTGGGTCCAAGATTGTTAAATTCCGGGCACAGCAGCCATCCCTGTGACACCTGGGCAAGGTGTTTTGGACCTCACTGGGAAGGAGCCCTTTAGATAAGGCCTCAGGGACTCTTTGCAGGACGTGATCATGGTGGCCTGCACCTGCCTTGGCACCTGGCCGGTTAGGAGGGTGTCATTACCTTGGGGAGGCCAGGGAGTCTGATTTTCACAGAGAACATTTCCATGCTGCTGAAAGGCAACCATGTCTCCAGACCATGACCTTTGGAACCAAGTAAGGCCAGAAGGAAGGGGCCATGTATACAGCGTACAGCTTTGGCTTGGATGTCTAGACACGTGGGTACAACTGAACCATTTCCAGTTTGCACCCCCTCTGTCTCCACCTGCAGACTGCATGTGACAGTACTACTGTCTTGTCCGAGCCAGGGAAGAATTTAACTGGGATGAGCCTGGGCAGCAAAATACCCAAGGGCTGGTGTGGGCTGGCCTGAGAGCCCATGGTGAGAGTATGTGACAGAAGTCTTACAAGGTGAAGAGTTTGCCAAGCGGCTGACATCTTTTTCTCTGTTTCCTGAAGGATCGTTATCTGCTTTTATCCCATGGAGCCCTGGCAGATTGGAAAGAAAGGAACTGTCATGACATTTTTATGATTGGCACTAAGGATCCAGGGCATCTCTGTAAGCTGGCTGCCTCTTCCCGAGAAGCCTCCTGGCAGAGTCAGGGCTTGGTGGATACCGGCTTCTGGCTCCCTGCTGCAGCTGTTTGTGACCTTGGAGTTGTCCTCATCTCTATCCTCATCCCAAATAAATGAAGAGAACTTTATTGTTAGACATGAGTTACTTACCTCGCTGCTACTTCCTGTCACCCTGGGCATCTGGGCAGGGGCGGCAGGTTTGGTTTATGAGGAGGGGACCTTAGGGAAATGGAGGTGGCATATTTCCTGTTTAGAGCTGCTGTCTGATACATCTGTAGCACTGAAGTCTTGGGGAGGAGAGCGCAGCCTGGTGCTTCTGCCTTCTGTACCCATGTGTAGGCCACTGGGGACATGGGGGCAGCTAGTCTGGCCTGAAACTTCCTGCATATTCACCTGATACTCCGAGCATCCTGACTCAGCCTGAGCCCTTCCATCTGCAGACTCCTGTGCTGGCCAGGAGAACTGGGCTAGCTGGGCTTCCCAGAACTTCCCTGGACTTCACTTTGCACCTTGACTCTTCCTGAGAATTCACTGGAACTGAGTAGTTTGCAAAACCCATGCCAGACATCAAAAATGCAGTGTTTGCCAACATACCAAGAGTAGAGATGAAAAGTCTGCCACCAGGAACTAAACAAATACCCTCTTCTACATCTGTGTACTGTATCGTGCCTTTGCATTTCCCAGTGTGCATGGGTGGGATTGGGGAGGCGCAAAGGAAGTCTCCACCTCGGTAGCTTTTCTGATATCCCATATAAATTTTACAGCTTATAACCTCACCAGATACTGACGGGTGTTGTTTCCCTGCACAAGGATTGGTGATCCTTGTATTTAGCACACCTTTGAAATAGTGCAATCAGAGTTTCACCAGTGCAGTCCACACAGTTAACAAAGTTAGTTTCTGATGGAATACCTGTACCTGCTAGAATTGTACATCTCCACTGCTGAGGCCTGGCCTTAAAAGCAAGAACTTGGAGCCTCTTGGCTGGCGGCCCATCCCAACTGTTTCTGCACTCACTCCTGCCAGGGTGTTTCGTGAGTGTCCTGTTCCCAGCGTGGACTGTTTGTGGGTCGAATGTGAATGAATATTTGTAGTGCCTGAGGATGGGACTGATGCTGAACAATCAGCAGGATCCGTAAGGCAACACTTCCCCTATATTAAATCTATCCACCATCACACTATCATCTGCTGGCTTGGTGAACAGACCCCTCCCCCACTTCCAATACTGTCCCCCAGCAGCGGCCCTGAGCTTTGCCTTCTGGTAAAACGGCACTGCCCAAACCTCTCGCATGATCCGTCCTGTGTGTCACCTTTGAACCCTTGTTACAAAGCTTCCAGTGGCTGTGATTGCTTCTCCCTTTTATCAAAGGCTTCCCTCAAATCCATTGCTGTAGATAGAACTCAGGCATGGGGGCAATTCTGACACCATCTCTTTCTGCTCTGTCCTGTCTTCTGTGCCCCCCCCATATTTTTCTCAAAGTCAAGGTTGAAGACAGTAATTTGTGTGCCTCCTGTCAACAAAGCTTTTTTGTACTGAACTATTTCAAAGAGTTATTCAGCCTCATTTAACTATGTTGTTTAATATTTTATTTATTAATTTTTTATTTTTTATTTTTATTTTTTGATTTTTCTCCTTTCCCGGGAATTGAACTCAAGACCTTGTGCTTGCCAGGCAGGTGCTGTGCTGCTGAGCTAAATACCCAGCCCCTTATTTATTAATTTCTAAAGACAGGTTCTCACTGTGTAGTTCAGTATGCCCTTGAGCTCATTATGTAGCCCAGGGTGACTTCAAACTTGCAGACTTTCCCTGGAATCCTCCCCAGATAGGCATGTCATTATTTCAGGTTTTAAAATATTTTAAGACTATTTTTTGCTGGTGTGAGGGCCTATGCATGTGACCTAGCTATGGAGAGGCTGAAGCAGGATGATCTCAAGCTCTAGCCCAGCCAAAATAACTATGAGAGACCCAAAAGGCTAAAGACATAGCTCAGGGGTCTCGGGCCCCTCTGTTCAATTCCTAACACTCCCAAAATTATTTCTTTAATTAAAAAAAATGGGTTACTTTTAAATAAGGTAACAAAGAAGGCAATAACGTTCATTCTTGTTTAAATCATCTTATGGGACTCAAGCAGCTATGAATTTAACCACAGGGTGGAAGTCCTTACCTAAAATGCTTAATAAGAAGCCCTTAACTCTGGCAACCGCTTTTCAGTGCGAATTCTGGACCCCTCCCCATTCATTTATGGGGTCTTGTTATTGTTTCGATCGTTTGTGTCCGTTGGGCCTCAACTCTTTTGGGGAGGAGGTGAGATACAGGTGATTGAGTGAACAAGAAAGCTCTTCTGCCCTTGGTTCCATCCGAGTGTTCCCCAAATTTCCTCCCCTTTCAGAGCACTTGTCCCACAGCATAACGAGAACACACAGCCGCTCACTCAGCGACTGCTCAGGGCCAAGCGGCTGCCAACTACAAGAAGTCAGACCAGAGCTGGCACACAGCCTTGGAGCGCTGTGACCCTGAGCAAGGGTCGGGACTAGCCAGCTTCACTCTTAAGGGGCGCCCCCTGCAGGGCCAGTGAGCCACCCAGAGGGCAAGAGGTGCGTGTGTCCATGCTGATTGGCTGGCTGGCTTGGCACTGAGCCAATGGAAATGCACTTTGTTTCCTTCAGGCTGGTAGCCTGCGGGTGCTGGGTCCTAGAGTTTGAGGGGTTGCTTTGGTCACGCTGGGTGAGTACCTGGGCTGAACCAGAGGGTAGCTCAGGAGTGGAGGCGCAGCTCATGTGTGCCAGTGGCTCCTAAGAGCCTGTGGGAGGGAGGCTGAGTTACATGAGGACGCCAGAGGCTTTCCCCGCATCCCCAGTGCCAATCTGGGAAACAGAGTCCAAAAGCCACGGTTTTATCACAGCCCTTCCGGGTCTGTCCTGGCTCCTGTCGCTGTCCTGGTGAGCTTAGGCGACTCCAACGAAGAATCTTGACCATTCTGCTGTACTGTTTCCCAGAAGGATATGGATCCTGGTTAGATAGACTTCACCTGACAATCCCAAGTGACTGTGTTCAGTAACTTATGGGCCACTCAGGGACCTGGGTTATTGCAGGTCATAATTCTGGATTTTATGGGGATAAGAACCCTTATATGTGATTCAGTACTATCATTAAAATATATCTTTAGAATGATCTTGTTCAGGGATTGGCACATCTTTGTAGATACATTATTATCGTGGGTTTTTTGTTTTGTTTTGTTTTGTTTGTCCTTTTGAGACAGGGTGTCCCTATGCAGTTCATACTGGCCTTGAGCTCACTTTGTAGCCCAGGCTGATCTCGAACTCTTAACGATCCTGCTACCTCAGCCTCTTGAGTGCTGGGATTACAGGCGTGCACCACCACTCCTGGCTTATAGTGTGTTCTTAATAAGCATAGCAATACCTTTAGTAGTAGCATCCACTTTGGAGGCCATACTCTGCTTACCTCTGGTATTGTGTATAAGCTGAAGTCAATACATAAGATAGTGACTGTTCTGATAAAATTCTATTATGGATTCTGAAATTTGCATTTCGTATAAACTTTCATTTTCATATGTCACAAATTCTTTTCTCACTGAAAATGTAAAAGCCATTCTTTGCTCCTGGGTCTCACCAAAGCAGTGGGAATAGTTAGTGGCAGAATCTTTGTCTAGTTCAGGACTTCACACAGTAGAGGAAACTGAGACCTGGATAGGGGTATCTGGGCCAAATCAGTCTCACAGGCAAGTTTTGCCAGGACTGTGCTTAGTTAAGCCTAGTTCTGGATTCCTGGGCTTGAGAGCTGGCCAGCAAACACCAGCACTTTTCACACAGTGGACAAGTGTGCCCAGGTATCAAAAGCGCTGTTCTTTACCATGTGAGATTTGGTGGTGCTCAGCTCCCTCTGTGTTTCTAAATTTCTTGGTAGAGGGAATACGTTTGTGATCTTCTTGGCAGAAAGGAAGAGTCTGAAGCAGTGGTCACGAGTTGTGGTGCCTGAGGCCCTAGTCAGTGGGCTGTGTTTGTGAGGAAACAGGCCTGGAGAGTGGGGGTAGGGCAGGGCAAGGGTGCAGAGGCCAATGTGTGAATTCTTTCTCTACCACCCAGTACCTGTGTGACTGGGGGCACCTCCAGGTTTGTATCACTGTAGTGGGAGCAATCAGAAAGGGTGGTTGTGAAAATTAATCAAGTTGGTATGGATACAAGCATGCAGGCAGCCTAACCCCTAGTATTAATCATAATAGCTCTGTCATTATTTCTATATTACTGTCTGTGGGCATCTCTAATATGCCAGACACATAATCATAATGGATGACCTGAATCCCCAATTTTTACAAATAAATCAACTAAACAAAAGTTAACAAAGAAGTGAGAGCTGAATCACACCTTTGAACAAATGAACTTAGTAGGTATCTACAGAGTGTTCCACTCTAGTCCAACAAAATATACCTTTTTAGTAGCATGCAGAAATTGCTCTAGCATAGACCAGCTACTAGTCCGTAAAGCCTGCTTGCACAAATATAAAAGAATCAAAATATCTCCTTGTATACTATACGATCATAGTGCACTCAAACTAGATATCAATCACAAAATAAATCAGAAATTTTACAAACGCCTGGATATTAAATAATAATATACTCTTGCCACTCAGTGAGTCACATAATCAAGGAAGAAATACAACAATTCCTAGAATCAAATGATAATGCTACTTGTTGTGGTTCATATCTGGATGTGCTCCCAAAGCCTCCTGTGGTTATGGGAGGTAGGTTTTTCAGAGGTAGCTGAATCTGTGATTGATTCATTATCCAAAGCTGCAATTAAGGGTGTGTTGCTACATCTGCCCTAGGGCAAGTATCCTACATGCAATATAAGGGACAGAAATGTTTGTGTCTGTCTGCCTGTCTCTCTCTCTTTCTCTTGCTTATTGCTTTTGCTGTCTTCTGCCACTGCAGTGAACTGTTGCCTGACTGCCATGTGCCACCCTGCCTTGGAACCAGCCAATTATGAACTGAAACCTCTACAAACTGTGAGCTAAATAAAACTTTTCTTGCTTAACTTTGGGCATTGGGTATTTTGTCTCAGCAACAAGTAACTAAGACATGTGAAACATAACAACTGATGGGACACAATGAAAGCAAC